GAGAGAGAGAGAGAAGACAGAGACATACATTCAGAGAGTTTCAGAGAGGCAGCCCGAGAGAGACAGAGACACACAGTGAGAGACAGAGAAGTACATAGAGAGACAGCCACTAGGGCAAGTGCCTTTGGAGGCCAGAAGAGGGTGTCCGATCTCCTGTAGTTGGTGTTACAGATGGTTATGGCATTTGTCTGACAGCTGACAGACATGGGTGCTGGGAACTGAACTCCAGTCCTTTGGATGACCTATCTCTCCAGCCTCTTTATCTTTTCCTATGCTTTTCTGTGCATAACTTGTTTTCATAAATATGTAACGTGTAGTTCCATTTTGTAATATTGTTCTGTGTTTTGAGCCTTAGATTATTTAAAAAACAGGAATCTTTTGACGTCCTCACCATAATGTATGTACATTTACTTTATTCTTTTTACCAGCTACCTGCTATTCAGAGGACTGCCATATAAGCCAAGAGATTCGTAATTTTTATTATCTTTGCTTATGTGTGAATAAGTCTATGAGTATGTCATGGAGTCAGGAGACAACATAGAAGAGTTGGTTCTTTGCCTTGGGGGTCCAACCCAAGTCATCTGCCTTGATTGCTGGCTTCTTTTTTAACTGAGATATCTTGCCAGTCCTTACCATGAGTTTTAAGGCAGTCTGCTTTTGAGGTCACAACCACTGTTCACTGTCACCAACAAGCTGTAAGAACAGTGACCATATAATTCATTTTGTTTAATTTCATTATACTTCATTAGTCTTGTGCCTAAAACAAATGAAATGGAGTGACTGAATAAAAAAGGCATTAGTCATCACTTGCTCAAATGGCCTGTGAGGAGGCTGTAGATGCACTTCCTGCCAATAGCTCATGAGAGGAGGAGTCTTCCCTCTCTCGGCCAAAGAATGCAGAGGCCACAGAGATGTGTTGTGTTCTTTTGCATTCTCCCTATTAAGTGGGGGAACGGGTTGCTTTTCCTGTGCTCTGGCTGGAAAATTCTCTCTCCTACCACTGGTTTAGTTTTCACGAACCTTATTCAGATGTTATCCCTTCTTCCCTTATGCATTTGCTAAAACTTGAATTTTAGTATTGATCCTGTAAGAAAGAAGCAGCCACAAATAAATCAAAACCAGAAGACACTGACAAAATCAAAGCCCTTTGGTGGTTTGCATTTTTGCTTTCAGTACCTGGGTTGGAACCTAGAGCTTTCCACTTAGCAGACACGTTGTCTACCACTAGCTACATCCCAGCCCCTTTTTACTTGTTAATTTTGAGACAGTCTCAATCAGTTGCCCAGTTGTGTAACTCTCCTGTCACAGCTTTCTGGTACCTGCACTTATAGGCCTGCCCCATCAGGCCTGGCATGAGTTTATTTGGTTTGTTTTTATTTGACTCAGAGACTTAATATGAATTGAAAATGCTTGGTTGGTAGCTCAGACTTGTTACTACCTAGCTGTGACATTTAAATTAACCTGTATTTCTTATTTGTGCTTTGCCACATGACTCACGGCTCGTCACCTCATTTTCTACCAGTGCTGCTTTCTCAGTGGCTGGCTGGCTTCTCTTCTGACTCCGTCATTCTTCTTCCCATCATTCTCCTAGTTTGGTTGTCCCACCTGTAATCCCTGACTGACTACCAGCCAGCCGTCTTTTTATTAAACCAATATGAGTCACAATTCTTCACAGTGTACAAAAGGGTTATTTTATAGCATTTCCCCCTTTTTTGCCTAATTAAAAAGAAGGTTCTAATTTTAACATAGTAAAATTATATAACAAAAGCAGTTATTAAGTAAGAATTGAAGTCACAATACCCAGTTCATTTGTGTTTAGTAAATCTAGAGAAAATACTCAAATTACCTTGGTGAGTCTAAAGTCTTATATATAATTTATCTTTTTATCATAACGAAATCTAGAGAAAATACTCAAATTACCTTGGTGAGTCTAAAGTCTTATATCTAATTTATCTTTTTATCGTAACGAAAAAAAAACCCTATAATTATTAACTATATAGTCTTTAACTCCATCAAAGCCCCCAGAAGGATGAAATGTTGCCTAATTACAGAGACATCAGGCCATCTGGACAGTCACCCAGAGTTCCTCTGTAACATTGAGGCATCCAACTCTAGCATATCTGACAGGATTTCCTGTGAAGGACTTTCTACCTTGTCCTGGCAAACACCTTTCTCGCTTTCCTCCGGTCCAGTCTGGACAGTAACTGTCAGCAGTTGAGGCAGGGGCAGTTTCTTTGCCCATATGGCTAGCTTTGCCATAAAGAAATCAAACTCCATATGGACTTTTTTCAACACCCATCATCATCTCTGCAGTATATTGGTGCTGCCAGGATCAGATGAGTCTCGTTGACATGAAAAGCCTTAGGTTATTAAATGTATTAAATGCCATATTCTGTAGCTCTTTGAAGTGCTTGAAGACCATTTATCTCAAAATATCTGTTTATGACTTTCAAAATATATCTGACATGACTATAAGTTTGACTATATTAGATGACTATTTTTTTTTTTTTTTTGGTTTTTCGAGACAGGGTTTCTCTGTGGCTTTGGAGCCTATCCTGGAACTCGCTCTTGTAGACCAGGCTGGTCTTGAACTCACAGTGATCTGCCTGCCTCTGCCTCCCGAGTGCTAGGATTAAAGGCATGTGCCGCCAACGCCCGGCTTTATTAGATGACTATTAATCTGTATTTTAATTATACATTTTAAATGAGTTGCATAAGTACAATAACGCAAACAAGAGTAGAAACACACATATATATAGTAAACAAATTAACTTTAAATTTGTAACAATATACAAAAATTCAAACCAATGTAAAATACTTAACATTAGTAGTTGGTTTTTTGTTTTTAAAGTAGATTCAATAATTGATGCTTTTATCCTATCTTTTCTATATCCCCCCTTTTCTTTTCAGAAAGAGATCCTTGAATCTAATCTCATTTGTTCGGGTTTTTTTTCCTGACCATTACAATAACAACTTGTAACCAACCCCCCTTAAATAATATTAAATACCCACAACCCAATTTTGGGAACGTGGGAGTAGTTTTCTAGACTACTTCCTATTGATTGGGGTTGCTGGTAATCTTTGGGGGATCATGAGAAAATTTAGGATATTTGTTAAGTCTTGGCTGTAGTATTCTGTGAGGCTGGATCATCTCAGTCAGAAGCGTAGAGGCTGTTCTGGATGCTAGATCACCTGGGCCATCATTTTCATTAGTGTCTGGTCCCTTGCTCTGAAAATATATAAACTTTTAAAGGTGACATACATTTTGTATTAGTACAAGTATAGATTGTGCATTGTATACAAGGCAGTTAAAATTTTTTGTTATGTATTTGAGCAGGTAAAATATACATCACCTGTCTTGTAGTTCTTTTAGGTTTATTTTCTTAATGTTTGTAGCCAGGGTTTTCAGGAGGTCTTCCTCAATCAAACCTGATTTTCTTTAACCTGAAATGAATCCACAGCCTCTCATTTCCTGTGGAAATAAAACCATAACCTATTCCCCAAAGTAACACATCTTTTGATTTAAATTTTGAAGATGAGATATTTTTAAAATATATAGGTTGGTTGAATCTATCAGTTTTTATAACCCAGTGCCTCTTACAGTCAAAAAATTCAAAGAAACACAATCATGTATAAGATCCGACTCTCTGTGTACTTCCCGTCTTCATGTGAGTTATTATTTTTTTATTACTGTATTAGTCTTTTAAGAACTCTTTCTAGCCTTTCTTTTCTCTCCCCAGTCTCCATATAGTTTTAAATGTACTGCAATGGTTTAGAGGGTTTTCTTTTTTTTTTTTCTGTCTGATTCTGTTTTTACTGCTTATCTGTAACCTTTTCTGTCTGTATGAGCAAACAGCCTAAGCCACCATGCAGTGTTCTGGTGCTCACAGCTCAAGCCTGAAGGCAGAGTCTGGGAGAAGCATCTCTGTACTGCAGCCCATGTCAGAAACTTTGAGAACCCACCACTGCTTAGCTCATGGCAGTTGGTGGCTGGCTCCATCTCACAGGCAGCTATCAGGAGTCTCGCTTCTGCATTGTGGCTGGTGTGAGACTAGGAAGCTGTGTCTGGCTTTATTTTTGTGTGTTTAGAACATGTTTTAGTCTTTTTGGTCTTAAGTAGATCTATGCCTCATGTTGGTTACCATTTGTTGGTGGAGTTTTCCTGTCCTGCAGCCACTCTCAAATAATCAGTCAGAGACTTAATATTAATTACAAATGCTCAGTCAACAGCTCTGATTTGTTACTAGCTAACATTTATATTTAAATTAACCCATATTTCATATCTATGCTTTGCCATGTGGTTCATGACTTATTACCTCATTTTCTGTAAGTCTTGTTTCCTCAGTGGTTTACTGTCATCTCTTCTGACTCCACCCTTCTTCTTCCCATTATTCTTCTAGTTTGGTTGTCCACCTATAATTAATTCCTGCCTGTCTACAGGCCAGTCAGCTTCTTCTTCTTCTTCTTCTTCTTCTTCTTCTTCTTCTTCTTCTTCTTCTTCTTCTTCTTCTTCTTCTTCTTCTTCTCCTTTTTTTTTTAAGATTTTATTTATTTATTATGTATACAGTCTCCTGCCTGAAGGCCAGCAGAGGGCACCAGATCTCATTCAAGGGGTTGTGAGCCACATTTTTTTTAAGATTTTATTTATTTATTATGTATACAGTCTCCTGCCTGCAGGCCAGCAGAGGGCACCAGATCTCATTCAAGGGGTTGTGAGCCACCATGTGGTTGCTGGGAATTGAACTCAGGACCTTTTGGAAGAGCAGGCAATGCTCTTAACCACTGAGGTCAGCTTCTTATTAAACCAATTTGAGTGAGAAATCTTCAGCGTCCAAAAGGATTATTTCACAGTAAGTCTCTCTGTCTCTGTCTCTGTCTCTGTCTCTGTCTCTGTCTCTCTCTCTCTCACACACACACACACACACACACACACAAACACACACACACTTGTTTTTAAAGATAATGGAAATTCTTTTAATTTCTTTTCCAGATGTATCGTTTTGTATGTTGATTTTTTGTATCCTGTAACTTTATTGAATTTATTAATTAGTACCAATGTGTGTGTATAATCTTTGGGATTTCCTACAGTCTCCTGCCTGCATGCCAGCAGAGGGCACCAGATCTCATTCAAGGTGGTTGTGAGCCACCATGTGGTTGCTGGGAATATAAATTGCTGGGAATATAAATAATGTTATTTTTCAACAGTTTTACTAATTTCCTCCCTCCCTCTTTCCCTCTCTTCCTTCTTTCCTTTCGTCCAGTACAGTATAAAAAGAGAACACTGTGAGTAAACACCTGTTACTTGTCCTTAACCTCAAAGGGCAAAGCTCTCAGATTTTTGCTCTGAGAATAATATTATGGCTTCCCCATATATGATCTTTATTATACTGAGGTACAGTTCATCTAGGCTGAATTTTGAAAGGTTTATTTTTATCAAGAAACCATGATGAGTTTGCCCAATGCCTTTTCTCCATCTGTTGGTGTGATATGGTTTGCATTTTACCTTCAATTCATGATGTAGCCCATTAACCCATTTGCCAATGTTGAAGCATTCTTGTTTGCTTCATCCAAGTGGGATGACAGGAAGTGCCTGACATTTTGGAAAGGTTTCTGGGTTAGTTTCCTGTCCATGAATTTTATAAACTAGGCTCAGAGACTAGACAGATGTGAAAAAGCTATCTTCTGCAGGTAGAAAAGTGTCAGTTTGGTTACCATTGTGTCTGTGACAAAGGCTAGCTTTTTCTGAGCCTGGACAGGATCACTGTTTGGGATCCTTGGTCTCTCAGAGCTAGAAGCTATGCTCTGAAGTTAGGGAGGCTGCCAGTTTGGCTATTGGCCTAGGTGAGGTCATAGGCTAGGCTCCAAGCCAGATGGGTGGCTTGCTATTGGACTACTTGATTGGATGGAGCCAGTGCTATGCTCTGCTGTGAGGTGGAGCCAATATATTGTCGTGGGGAATAGGCTGACTCTGGGGCCAGACTGCACTACTGACTCAGCAGGGCTAGTCATCCTGGTCCCTGGACAAATGGAGGCACAAGCCTGGCTTTGAGGTCAGAGCAGCTGACTGGGCTCTCCCATAGGGTGCCACTACTGTGGAGACACAGCTCCATCCCCAGCTTATCACCCCTGCCCCATTCTTTGTTTTCCAGTGGTCTGATGCTGAGTCATTCAGTGTTGTTCATTGAGAAAAACAGATGGGGGCCTCCCTCAGGCACCTCAGAATTCTGGGGAGCTGTATGTTCTCAGTTGGTCCTGTTTCCCTCTGTAGAGAAACTTTAGGTTCAGGGTCACCACCTTGGGAAGGCCTGTGCCAGCCTGATGAAGGGGCAATGCAGTCAAAGTGATGCTTCTTCTCTTGCCCTTCTGATGTGGATTTTGTGGCCCAAGGGTGGCCTCATCCTCCAGTCATTGTGTGTGTGTGGGGGGGGAGTAATTGTTGGTTGGTCATTCTGTGCATGGGGATTAAAGTCATTGATATCAACAAAATGTCTTTTTAACCTAAGTGCTGTCTGACACTCCTATTCAGACCACAGAAACATCCAATCATACAGCATCTTATTTAAGGTTTCTACTGCAGTGATAAAACACTATGACCAAAACCAGCTTGGGGTGGAAAGGGTTTTTTTGGCTTACATGTCCACATTATGGTCCATCAAGAAAAGAAGTCAGGGCAGGAACCTGGAGGCTGGAACTGAAGCAGAAACTATGGAGTAATATACTGCTCTCTGGTTGGATCAGTTTGCTTTCCTATATACCCCAGGACCACCCGTCCAGTGGTGGCAATGCACATAGTGGGATGGTCCCTCCCAAATCAATCACCGATCAAGAAAATGCACCCACAGACTTGCCCACAGGCTGTACAGATGAGGGCATTCATTTTGTCCATTAAGGTTCCTCTTATCAAATAAATTTAGCTTGTCAAATTGACAAAAAAAACCCAAAAAAACAAAACAAAACAAATTAAGAAACCCAGACCAACTAGGACACTACGTGTATTTGTTATTCACAATATCCACCTTTTCCGTACTCCAGAGTGGGAAAAAATGCTACCTGTCACCTTCATCAATCTGCTCATATGATTGGATATCCACTTTCTTTTTTTTTTGACAGCTTTTGAGTATAATTTATTTGCAAAAAGAAATTTACCCATTTGAATATACAATTCATGCATTTAGTACCACAGCCCAAGTTTGGAACTTAGGCTTTACCCATCTCCAGAAGAATCCCTCACAGCTGTGTACAGGCCATTCTTGGTCCCCTTAGTCCATGTGACCACTGATACATCTGTCTCTATAGATTTTATTTCTGGGCATTTCATAGAAACGGAATTATACATTATGTGCCCTTCTGTGTTTGGCTTCTTTTATTAAGAAAAAATATTTTTGAGATTCATATTGTAGAATGTATGAGCATTTTGTTCCTTTTTATTGAGAAACAATATTTCATTGTATGGATTGCCCAGTTTTATTTTTCTACCCTCCAACTAAAGGCCATTTTGACTCTTCCTAACTTTTGATTCTCAATAAATGCCACCAGAAATATTTTATATAAGTTGGTGAGAACGTCCCTTTTCACCTGTATGAGAATGCCTTGCGGTGGATATTTATATCATAATTAACATTATGTTTGTGTGTGTGTGTGTGTGTGTGTGTGTGTGTGGATGTGCAGTATGATGCTTGTATACACAAACACTCAATGTGTGAGAGCTTGTGTGTGCAGATGCACGTGGATGCGTGTGCACCTGTGTGCGGAAGGCAGAGGTTGACGCCGGGAGTCTTCCTCCATCACTCTTCACCTTAGAGAATGAGTCAGGGTCTCTCTTTCTGGAGCCCAGAACTTGCCAGTTTATTGGAGTTAACTCATTTTTTTCCTTGGGTTAACTCAAGACCACCTATCTTATGTGTATTAGTTCTTTACACTCTTTCTTTCATTTCCATAAGCATATATATAATCCCATAGTCCTGATGACCATTTTCCCATGGTTTGTCTGCCCCCTCCAGAATGTCCACAGAACAGGAGGACACAGAGAGGATGCCCTTAGAACCTGTATTCCTGCACTTCAAAAGATTTAAAGTGGCAATTTCACAAGCAATCAAAAGGCCATTTCCTTTTCTTGCATTCCTACGTGACACTGAGCTCATCTCTGATAAAATGTATAAGGTAAGTGAAGTTTGTTACAACCTAACCTGGTAAACGAGTTCCAAATTAAGATACACTTTGATGCCTTAGAATAAAACTGGGTGACTGGCAGGTTTTTGTTTTTGTTTTTGTTTTTGTTTTGGAGACAGGGTTTCTCTGTGGCTTTAGAGGATGTCCTGGAACTAGCTCTTGTAGACCAGACTGGTCTCGAACAGACTGCCTCTGCCTCCTGAGTGCTGGGATTAAAGCCGTGCACCACCACCGCAGGGCTACTGGCAGGTTTTTAAATCTGAACTTAATTTTAAAAGAAAGAGGTCATTTCTTGCGCGCGCGCGCGAGCGTGTGTGTGTGTGTGTGTGTGTGTGTGTGTGTGTGTGTGTGTTCACATTGTTGCTGGTGCCCACACCGACCAGAAAAGAGTTCCAGGTTACCTGTAACAGGAGTTAAAAGGTAGTTTGAGCCATCTGATGTGGGTGCTGAGTCTCTAACTAGATCCTCTTCAAGAGCTACATATACTCTCAACCACTTAGCTATTACTCCAGCCCCTAGACCTAATTTTTGACAAAGAATTATTGAAAGTATCCATAACACTTTGTAGAGATTATTAGTGACAATAATAATTTTATCAATTATGAATCAGAATTCTGGACTCCGGATTAAAATCTGGGTTTCCTGTGAGAGATACTTATCATCCAAGTATTTCTGGAAGTGTTCTCTCCAGATTTTAAGGGAGAGGAGAAGCAGAGGCCTCAGGAGATGGTCCTGCTTCTATGTGAGAGAAAGGAGTTCCATTGTCCCTTCTGAAGTCAGGGTGAGTATTGTTGAAGATAAGTCAGAGCAGAACAAGGGTTCTCAATAAATGTGCAATGTCTTAGCACTTTATACCATGCAATTCAAACTAAACTGAACTTTAAAAAAATAAACTAAAAATCAAAAGCAATTTATTTACTGTTGAATTATTTTATTGAACTAAGTGAAATGTCAGTGGACACATTTTATTTTAATAAATGTCCATTTTGAAACCTAGATATGAGAACATTAATACCTACAGAGTGTCTTATTAGAACAATTTTTACACATCTTTATTTTTATTTTATGTGTATGAATACTTTGTCTAAATGAATCTATATGCACTTCTGGTGTTCCTGGTGCCTTTGGAGGTAAGAAGAGAGAGCATCAGATCCCTGGGACTGTAGTTGCAGATGGTTGTGACCCACCACGAGGGTGCTGGGAATTGAACCTGGGACCTCTGCAAGAGCAGCAAGTACTCTTAACCACTGAGCCACCTCATTTTCTACAGGCCAAATCCATACTAGTGCGAGGACAAGAATTGTCCAGTTAATCGAACAGCTTTGGCAACCTGGCAAGTTAGTTAGCCATTTTTTGTTTGTTTTTCAAGAACGCATATATTTTTATTTTTATGTGTGCAAGTATTTTGCCTGCATGTATGTATACATACCACTTGTGTGCCTGGTGCCCATGTTAGCCAGAAAATCCCTTGAAAGTGGAGTTACAGGTATTTGTGAGTTATTAGTGGGTTCTGGGGAACCCAACTAGGATACTCTGCAAGAGCAGCAAGTGCTCTCAACTAGGAACTATCTCTCCAACCCCTCCACACTTAAAAATATTGCATTTATTATTTATTTACTTATGAATATATGTGTGAGAGGGCAAATGTGTATGAGCCTGCTGCTGTGCCCATATAGAAGTCAAGGGACAATTTGTGACGAGTTGGTTCTCCCCTTTCACCATCTGAATCCCAGGGACTGAACTCAGGCCATCAAGATTGGTGGCAAGTGCCTATAACCCACGGAGCCATCTCACCAGCTCCATTGTTAACCCTTAACCCTAGTTATCCTTTCTTACAAACACTGGCTCTTCTTGCATGTCATATAAATGAGGGAGGGAGCTCAAAGTCACTAGTGAGTATTTTCAAAGAGAAAATATTTACACATGTCAAGAAGTAGCCATGCAAATATAAAACTCTTCATTAGAAGATATGTATGTAGGGGATGAGGTACACTAACTATAATTGTTACCTAGGGCTCTGCTGTGACTTGGAAGCCTGCACTTAAATTTCCTCTGATTAATATTTTTAAGGATTTTCAAGATTCCTGTACAAACCTGGTCCCTGTAGAACAAGTGGTCTACAGAGCCCTGGAAGAACTGGAGAAGAGACTTGATGAGGTGGTTCTGAGGGTACTGTTCAGTGAAGAAAACGTGAGGGCATACCCTGATTTGGAAGACATTATCACAAACCTTCAAAATGGTAATTGGGTTTAGTATCACACTTTGAGATTACAGTCCTCTTCCCCCCCCCCCCGAGACAGGGTTTCTCTGTGGCTTTGATGGCTGTCCTGGAACTAGCTATTGTAGACCAGACTGGTCTCGAACTCCTAGAGATCCACCTGCCTCTGCCTCCCGAGTGCTGGGATTAAAGGCGTGTGCCACCACCGCCTGGCTACAGTCCTCTTCTTCTTCCCCCTCAACAACCATATATTAAGCATCCACCATGTGTTACACATTGCACAGTGCAATTGGGGACATAGTAGATAAAGAAAAACTAACACGTTATGCATCATCACAAAGCTTGCGTCTCATGACTATAGTCGACACCCTCCAGAGGTCTGCAGGCTGGGGAGTTAGACTGACAAGAAAATGAGAGCCTCACCAGCATCAGGCTATGTAGAAAAGGACAGGGAGCACTAAGCCCCAGTAGGGAGCACTGAGCCCCAGTGGGGAGCTCTGAGCCCAGCAGGGTGGCACTGCTGTGTCTCTTCAGTAGAGCCCTTATAATGATACACGTAACAGTCCACCAGGTTGACTACCACCCACCTTGAGTGACAGCTCAGCTGTGGGTTGCAGGATCCATCTTAGTTTAGCACCACATGCTCATAGAAATCAACAATGTGTGAGCCAGTTCTTCAAGCCCATCCTGCCCATCTTTAAAGCTTGCCCATCCTGAAGCTTCCCTGTAGTATGTGCCAGATCCCAGACATTCTATCCAGGAACGTCCCCTCTTTCTTCTTACACTGTGACAGCCTGGAAGCCATGTTTTGCTTCTTTGTTTTTCTGTTTTGACATATACTTTCTCTGCCTTCTGAACACTGGAAGAGGAACACAGCTCATAGTGTGAATTCTACATTTTTGTTCTTGACCTTGAGTGTCTCCTCTCTGTATGGGAAGCATAAAGTCTCCCTTATGAGAGTCTTCTCTGTCCAGGACATGATGGGTGAAATTGTCATGTGGGACCCATTGAACTTGGAATCATGCAGGGCAGGGGGCTCAGAAACTCCTTTATGTGTAATTTGTAAATGCTGCCCCTGGTCCCTGCTAGAGATCTCTAACAGTGGCCTCCCTTTCTTCCCTCTCCCTCCCTCTTCAGTCTCACAGAACAGATTGTGTTCCCAAGGAAGTGACAGAGGAGACCCGAACCCCCCGCTAAATTTTGAACAAGGTAATTACACCTGGAGAAAGTTTCTTATCATCACAGAGAATAGGAAATAAAGGTGATCATTAGCAGAGTGTGACTGGAGGAAGAAATGGAGAAGGCAGGGAAGGGAGTTGGTGTTAGCTTTTGTGCACTGGGACAAATTACCCAGGAGAAGCTGGTCACTCAAAACTCTGAGGCAGGAGGATTGTGTGTTTGATGCCAGCCAATTTTATATAGTAAAAATCTCTCAAAAACAAAACAGATACCTGAGAAGTCAATTTATTTGGGTTCATGATGTTAGGAACTTCAACTCAGTTGATTTGACCTTACTACTTAAGGCCTATTGGGGCATAACAACAAAGCAAGGGGTTGGGGAAAGCAAGGCTATTCACTGCATGGTGACCTGGAAGCAAGGAAAGAGAGGGTGTGCCTGTGGTCCTTCAAGGGAACACCTTCATCGATCAAATCTGCTTCCACTAGGCTCTGCCTGTTAAAGGAACCACCATGAATTAGAGCCATGCTGAGGGGCAGAACTCTTTCTAACACATGAGTCTTGGAAGGAGGGGGCATTTGAGATCCAAACTGACCAGTCTCTAATGGGATTTAGAGTAACCTGGCAGAATAACCATGACAACAGACAGTCAGCCTGATACCCACAACGAAGGAACCTGAGCACAGTGTCAGTAAGCCACATTGAAAGAGACTGACTACTCAGAAATAATTGTGATTTAGAAAAGCCCCTGAAGGAAATGACCAATATGGAACTGTGGAAGACAAAGAAGTATGGTCCATGGTGGCAAGAAAGAGGAAACACTCTAGAGGAAAGATGTTCCTGTTTTGTGCCCTTACATGTACTGGTCTCTGACAACCAATGTATGGTCTCCAGACACCTGCAAGGATTTTTATGATGTAATTAACTTCAGATAAAGAGTTCAGTGACACAGACAGCCTCTCACTTCAAATGTTGGTTACAAGTTCTATGGTGTGACCTGTGCTTCTTATTAACTGGCCATAAATCAGAGGTTGCCATGCTTCCTCAGGCAGCTGAACTTGTTAGCACAGCTCATGAAACTCAAGGAAACATTAGTTTATAATTTATTAGAAAAGTTATAACTCAAAAATAGCCAGCTTGGTTGAGGGAAGGTGGAGAGGTGACTCAGTTGGCAAAGCCCATACAAGCACACGGGCTTGAATTTGATCCCCTAAACTCATGTACAAAAACAGCTTAGACACTGGGCAGGTGCTGTTATCCTAGCACCAGGGAGGCAGAGATAGGCAGATCCCTTGAAATCACTGACCAGGCAAATCGAGGTGTAGGCCAGTGAGAAACTCCATCTCAAAAAAAAAAAAAAAAGAGGCCAATACCACCTGAGGACTGACACCCAAGGTTGTCCTCTGTTCTCCACACACATATGCTCACAAACAACAACCACAAGGGAGAGGCACATCCTGAGGAATAGTGGGGTGGTAACATAACACTGTCTTGCCATCCCTGGGCACACCACCCTTCCAGCACTATGGAGTTTGTCAATCCCAAATCTCTCTGAACAGAGTCACTTAGGATTTTTTAATAAATGTTCCACCATGAACAGACCTGATTGATGAAACCATTAGTGATCCAGTCAACTTCTAGTTCTTCTTACCTTGGAGGCCAGCATTCCAATGCTGTCACCATGTTTGTTCCCCTGGCAACCAGCCCTCCATTCCCAAGGCCTGAGCAACTTTGTCTCTACAGTATACACTGGGATGTTACTGAGGAAGGTTGGCTAGTCACAGGGAGAGGGACACTTTTCACATTAATCACTAGGGAACTCGCCCAGGATTTGAGGAGCTCTGGCCAGGAACAGGGATGAAGCCCCAAGCTAACATTTCTTAGAATGTCACAGTGTCACACTTGATGCCAGAAGAGATGGATTCAAACATGAGAAATGTTGTTTGAGAGCAAAAAAATTTCCAGAAGGAAGATATATAGAGGAGAACACACAGCAAGAAAGTGGCAGAGAATTGGAAGAGGCAGAGAGAGGAAGACGGAAGGAAATGAAAGGGAGCAGAGAGAATGAATGACAATAGCAGAAAGAACCATGCTGCTATTGGCTAGCATCTACTCCTGGTTACTGTCTACCCAAGTATTGGTATTATTTAGGTACCCAGTTTATAGGTGAGGAAGCTAAAATTGAGAGAGATGATGTGTGGAGCGGTCACAGGATCAAATGAAACACACATACACACACACACACACACACACACACACACACACATACACACACACACACTCAGCAAATATATATACACACACACACACACACACACACACACACACATACACACACATACACTCAGCAAATATATATATATATTTTTTTTTCAGAGTGACTTTTGAAACAATTATTATACATTATAAAATATTGCATTCAAATTTTTAACATTTGAAAATATAGCAACATACAAGAATCTGTATTGTTAGTTGTTGCTCTGCAGGTGCAGAGTATGGCAATAAGAAGGAATGAATGGGTGGGATTGTGGTTAATGATGAGCAGAGGGACCAGGATGCAGTGGGGAGGAGGGATGCAGGAGAAATGGGTGAACTCTTGGGAAGCCTGTGTAGTCTGCAGCAAACCTACCTAAAAATGGCATCCTAATGATGTCAGAGACAGAGATAGATGAATATACAGAAATTTCAACCCACCACCTAGATAGGCCACAGGGGGAAAATTAGACACCAATATACATATCCAATAGTCTCACCCAGCAGAGACTCTGGCTGTGATGAGCACAAATGGGGTTAGGACTGTAATCATGCCCATGACCCCAAAAGACATGGGTTCTAATCCAGGTCCATATACCGTGTTAAGGCTTGAAACACAAATAATAAAAACCCGGAGACAGATTAATGGGGTTAAAACTGAAGATCAGAGAAGCAAAACAGTTAGCCACTTGAGAGTTCTCACCTCTACCAATACTCAGACCAAAGGGGAGATCCACTGAACCTCAGACTGGTCTCCATTGCACTGCTGCTCAAGCTTCTCAGTTCCTGTCCCCTCCCTGCCCTGCCCCCATTCCTTATACTTATATTCCTCTTTAGTGCTGGGATTAAAGGCCTGAGATACCAGTGCTGAGGTCACCTTTGTGTGAGCTCTGTTTCTCTTTTAAACTGGATCAATTTCCTCTGGCTCAGGGTGGACTTGAATTAAGAGAATTCTGTCTGCCTCTGTCCACTGACTGGCTTCTATGGCTAGCTAGTGTGGCTATCTTTGTACTGTAATCTTCAGGCAAGCTTTATTTGTTAGATCATTAACAAAATATCACCACATCTATAACTAACTTTTCAATTATTTTTCTCTGTAACTTAACTTTGTGTAGGAAATATTAAATGAAAAACATGAAACTGTACTGAAAATTGTATTATTTGTTCACATACCATTGAGATTAGTAGAGTAAGTACGGGCTGGGTAGACAGAATCCCCCATGGGTCAGAGAGGTTCCCTCTAGCAGAAGACAGGGCATCAATCATGAATTTTTTTTTGCTCCTGGACTCCTTCCCTACACAGTCCATGCTTGCCTCTGACCCTTACCTCTGACCTCTGACCCCTACTGTCTTCCTTGACAACTTCCCTTTCTAGCCAGCTTCCTATAGTATTCCTGACAAGAGAGCCATTTGCAAAAGCTCATAGAGAATGGAGAAAGCAAAGCCCAGGATTCCTCCAGCCCTGTGTTGGGGCTCAGTGTACAGTAGATGCACCATTCCCCTCAGTGGCTCCAACCCTGCTCCAGATTCTGAGTACCCAGTCTCCCTGTCATTAGCTGCTAGGCTCCTTCAGTCCTTCCCCCAGTTCTCAACCCTCTCTGTCTCTGTGTCTCTGTGTCTTCCTGTCTCTCTGTCTTCAAGGTTTAGAAGGATTTTTCTTCTCTTATTGAATACTCATGCAATGGGCAAATAAATATATTATGAAACAAAATCTGTTTTAGTTCTGGGTTTACCTGAAAATGAGCTCTCAGAAGACCCCTTTGAAACAGTGCAGATTAACCAAGTGAGAAGAGACACCACTGCTGACAACACTGATGAACTGGAAAGGGACCAAGCAACCCCAGATGCTGAGCCAGAGGGTGAGAGGGACTGGATATGAGCATGAAGGGCCCTAAGATGCTCTGAGTGGGAGCAGAGGAATGGTTTGGGGGCTGATACAAGAAAAAAAAAAAACTGCTTAGAGACAAAGATGAAATTGATGCACTGTTGAGACCTGGAGGGGGTATCTGGGAAAGAAACCCAAAGGGGGAAGAGTTGGAAAAGCCTTATTGGGAAAAAGAGAAGCTAAGGATCAGAGGGGTTGACATCATGAAGCACAAATGTCTTCCAGGGTAGGGTGGCCATATGTGCAGATGGGGATGGAAGTAGGAACAAGAGATGAGCAGCAGGGTAAGGGATAAAGATGGAAAGTGGGAGAGAGAAAGTCTCTGTGGGATCTCACCTGTGGCCTTTCCATCTTCAGAGTCCTGTGTACTAGAAGTCCAGCTGAGTAACAGTGATGCACCCATGGAGCCTCATAGCCCGTTGCTCTGGAATGAAGAAAGTAACTATTGCTTACCTTCCTGGCTCTGTTTTTCAGATGCTCTGTATGTGTTTGGTAGAGCTTTACTTTGTTTGTTTAAAAAACATCTTAACCATTTTTAAAATTGACTTTTTGAAAAATGTGTTATGTATACTTGGGGTTGGGAATGTAGGTCAGTGGTGGAATATTTGTCTAGCATGTGTGAGGTCCTTGCATCAATCCTAGCATCACACACACACACACACACACACACACACACACACACACACACATGCTCATATGCACGTAGGCCCACATTTAATCTCAGAGGCAGGATGATGTTTTAAATACTGTGAAATGGCTACATCCAATATGTGTATTTCCTCACATTGTGGTATGAATTTAAAATGCATGACCTCGAAGATTTCTTCAGCACTCAATATACTGTTAGTCTTACCATGTTGTATAATGGACAGCTAGAACTTATTCTTTCTGGATGGAATTTTATGTCCACTATAGCCTAAGCCCATGTTCTCATTACTACTTTACTCTCTCTAAGTCAGACCCTTTCACAGCCACCTAAAGTGAAATCGTGTAGCTTTGCTTTTCTGTGCCTGGCTTGCTAATGTGTTGTTCTGGTTCATTCATGTTGTCTCTGCTGATGCGGTCTCCCGCATTTTAAGGTTGGCAAAGTCTCTCCTGTGTGAGGTGCTGGCAAGCTGTTAAGGCTGACTCCACAGGTGGAGACTGCCACATTGTAAACGAGTGCAGGCACCTCTTTAACAGGCTGGTTTTAATGCTTCGAGACGTGTGCAGTAGAGAGGAATGTCTAATCACATGGTGGTTCTATTGTCAGGGTTTTGAGGAAACTCCATTCTGTTCTTTCCTAATGGCTGTAGGTATTTACATCCCACTCAGGGAAGACAGGGTCTCATTTCTCCACAGCAACACCAACACTGACTCTCGCTCCTCTTTTTGAGGATAGCCATTCTAACCACTGTGAGACAGCATCTCACTGGAGTTTCTTGACAGTGCTACTGGGCACATTTGGGTGTTCCTGTTGGTCACCACAGTCCTATTGAATAGAAGCACTGAGGTTGGGTACCTTTTGTAAAGAGAAAACTTTACTGAAGACCGATGTTTGCTTTGAGTTCCTGTATACATCACTTTGACTTATAACTGCAATATATATTCTAACGTTCAGATAGGAAGGCTCTCTTCTTGGTCCTTTTTCTTAAACAGGTGATTTTAAATTATGAATTCAACCTCATTTATTGTGATGTGTCTTATGTCGATTGGAGACCTGGAGACCTTCTGCCTTCTACCTGGACACATACATCTTTCATAAATTTGGAAAGTTTTCTGTTGTATCTTTAAGGGTCCTCCCAACCCCCAGTTCCTTTACAAAGGAACTAGGCCTAGATTTTGAGGTGAGCCCTTGGTCAGGAGCCAACGACTATAGTGTGAGGCATGCTTGGAGTCTCATGTAACAGGCACTGGCTTAGACCTCATAGGGGCCTGCTTAGTATTGAGTTCCCTGAGGCCACCAGCCTTGACATCCAAGGCAAAAGCAGGTTCTTGGCTTCTCTGTTCTCTCCTCAGCTGGAAGGTGTCTCTCTCTATGCTGTACTGCCCTGGGTGTTGCCCTCTGACCACCCCAATATAACTTTTCTTGCCTCATCTAGGTGCTGTGGTCACTAGCTTGGTTCCCTTAGCCATTAGGCAGGTATCTCCATGCATACAGACGCACAGTCTGATATC